GACCTGATCACCGGACCGGCCCGGGCGTCACGCCCGGGTGACCGGCCGGTCCGGACTGGCCGGTCACCGGAATCTTCCTAGAAAAAAAACATTTTGATAAGTAAAATTGTGTTTTATACTGATAAAAAATTTGTTGCAAGAAAAATTTAGAAAACAGACTCATTCTTCTCGGTTTCCTACAAGCAAACTTTGATGAAGGAAAACTTTTGGGTCCAATTTTGGGCGATTTGACAGGATTGATCAGGGATACCACAGTCTAGTGGTGGACAGAATCGAGAGAGAGTATCCAGCCAATAAGATCCTCAAGTGGATCATAACGATGCCGGACTTCTTATCCCCACACTCTGGTACAATGATGGCCATCCTGGAAGTGAAAACGGACGACCCGCCGGTTTTCCTTATTGATTTGCTGCAAGAGTGCTAGTTGCTGGTTGAATGTGCTTGTTGATTTGCTACAAGACAGGTGCTCTGCTGTCTGAGCTACAAAGTGCAGAGCAGGTAAGTGCCTGCCAACAGGCCTCTCCCCTCTCCCGTTCGTTCTTTTTTTTTTTTCCGGACATTTTGACACTGGCCCGGACAATCCGGGTGTCCGGTGATGTCCGGATCACCGGACAGTCCGGACCAGTCCAGACACTGGTCCGGAAGACGGTCCGGGAGTGTCCGGTGTCCGGGTCCGCGGTTACCATGGTAAAAAGAAATTCAATTAAAGAGGGAAAAGGATAGAAAAAAAAATAGAAATGGTGGCAATAATCATTGCCAATTCAGTATTTCTCTAATACTATAAAGCAAGAAGCGGGTCTCGCGTGACGGGCCCAACAGAAACCGGACGCCGGCACGCGGGACCGCTCCCGCACTTCAGGTTTTCCCAAGCAGCGCGACGCCGCGATCATTTTTGTTGGGAAGCGGTCTTTTCGGGCCGCGAGGCGGTTTTTGGCGGTGACTGGGAAGATACAGCGCTCGCAATTTTTTTCTCGTGTGGCGGCCTGTGGCGATTCCGAACCTGCAGCGTGAGGCCGGGAAGATACAGCGCTCCCCTTTTTTTTTGTCTTGGCGATTCACGGGCGGCATGGTTCGATGCATGCATAGGGCGAGCATCGGCTCACTACCGCGACCGTGCATGGGGAGAGAGGCGTACAAAGGCACGCAAAGGAGCGATCCTGGTGAGGGCGAACATCGGCTTACTGCTGCGACCGTGCATGGCGAGAGACGTGTGCGTTTGTGCGTAGGTGGATGCGGTCCGTGGTGGTGTGCGTTGTGTGGCAGATCGGTGGGCAGTGTGCGGCCAGTTTCTATCGTCTCTCTCTCTCTCTCACACACACACACACACACACACACACACACACACACACACACACACACACACAC